TGTAAATCTTTTGTGGGTAGGTTTTATTTCTCTTGGGTAGGAGTAGAATTACAAGATCAAAGGGGAAATGTATGTGTAACATGCCAGGAGCTGCCAGAGGTTTTCCAAAGAATCTGCATCTTACACTTCTGCCAGCCGTGTGTGAGAGCCCTGGCTGCCCCTTGCTCCCTGTCTTCCACTTAGCTTTTGTGGGAGTGGTGGAATCCTACCTCACTGTGGGTAGAATTTTCATTTCCCGATGTTAGCAAGCTATTTTCCATGTGATTATTGGTCACTTGCATATCTCCTTTTGAGGGGTAGCTTTGTCAACCTTTCCCCACTTCATTATGGAAATGTCTTACTAGTTGGTGACTTGTAGGCATGTCTATATATTTCATATAAATTCCCTGGTCACTCTGTGGCTGTGTTCTCTAGTGTATGGTATATGTTTTCATTTTTTAAAGAGCAGTTAAGAAATTTTTAATTTGGTAAAATCCAGTTTACCAACTTTTTTCTTTTATTTGCTGTTTTATAACCTGTTTGAATGGCCTTTTGACATAACTTTCAAAAGACCACCTAAAAAAGGATTTTCAATTAAAAATCTATTCTCAACAAAATTTGTCTGATTAGTCATGATTGGAAAACTTTTCATTCTTTTTCACATTCTATTTTCATTACCCAAACACAGTAATATGCTGATAACTATTTTCTGGGAGACAGGAAATATCCCATCTTAATACATATCTTGTCAGTGTTCTGTTGCTATAAAGGGACACCATGACCACAGCAACTCTTATACAGGAAAACATTTAATTGGGTCTGGTTTACAGTTTCAGAGGTTTAGTCCTTTACTGCCATGGTGGGAAGCATGGCAGTGTGCAGGCAGATATAGTGCTTAGAGTTCTACAACTGGATCTGAAGGCAACAGGAAGAGACTGTGAGCCACTCAGCCTGGCTTGAGCTTTTAAGACCTCAATGCCTTCCCCCTAGTAATACCTTCCTCCAACAAGGCCACTGCTATTCCAAGAAGGCAATACCTACTTCAGCAAGGCCACACCTAATAGTGCAACTCCCTATGGGCCTACCGGGACTATTTTTATTCAAACAAGCACAATGCATTTCAAGCTATCAGTAGTTTAAACACCAATTCAGAAAATTTCTAAATCTTGGAACAGTCAGCTTTCTTTAGCATTGCAAGCCTTCCTGTCCACACCGTTTGTGTTGTACTAGAGACTGAAGGTAGCTGGAGAGCTTCTCTCTGGGTCCCGCCAAGCCCCCACAGCCCCGCAGCCCACTTGTAAAATAAACACATGGAGGCGTATATTATTTAAACTGTTTGGCCTAATGGCTCAGGCCTCCAGCTAGCTGTTCTTATATCTTAAATCAACCCATTTCTATTAATCTATAAGTTGCCATGTGGCTCGTGGCTTACCGGTATCTTAACATCTTCTCATGGCGGCGGCTGGCAGCGTCTCTCTGACTCAGCCTTCCACTTCCCAGACTTCTCTTCTCTGCTTGTCCTGCCTATACTTCCTGCCTGGCTACTGGCCAATCAGCATTTTATTTATACAGAGTGATATCCACAGCAATTGAATAAGCCTTCAGCTATGTGAGACACATGCTGCACCCCGCATGACCCCTTAAAACAATGATCCTTCAAACCCCTTAAAACAATGATCTTTAAAATGTGAGACAGAATCTTGCTAAACTTCCAACTTGACCCTGTCACTTCTCCACCTCAAACTCCCCGGGTAGTGGGATTGTGCCACCATGCAGGCCAGAAGTCATAACAGACATTTGGCCACCAAAAATGGAGTGTCAGTGGCCACAATCAAATCCAGAGCCTGGTTTGATGTCCAGCTGTGGCCAGTATACCCAGAATTATAGGCAAAAAGGTTAGATAAAAAGAATGCTGGTGTTGGAATAGTAAACACTTAAAAACAAGACACCCACTGTCCTGGTAAATTAGCATAAGCACAGAGTCTGAGAACTGACCCAGTCCCTGGGGAGATGTGTTGAAGACTATAAAAGGAGACAGTGTGGGAGGTCGGAGTGCAGTGTAAAGTAGGAGGGTGGGTTGTTAGATCATAGACCAACAGAGCCGAATGGAGACTAAGGAAATGACACCTGGAACATACCAGGACCCACACACACATCTCTTGGTGAGTTCATTTGACGAAAGAATTAGACCACAAAAGCCGAAGGAAAAGACAAGAGAGTATGTGCTATTTATAGCCACCGTGGCCTGGCTATGTGGCTAATGTGTGACAATAAGAAATGACTGTGGAGGGCCTGGGGAAGTGGCTCTGTTTGTGAAGTGCTTTCTACACAAATAGGGGACCCAATCCCATCACCAGAACTCACGTAAGGAGCCAAGAGTGGTGGTGTGGCAAAGAGGAAGGAGAGACAAATGGGTTCCTGGGGCTTTCTATCCAGTCAATCTAAGCATTTCACGAGGCTCTGGGTCCTCGTGAGAGATCCTGTGTGGTAGTTTGAATCTAACTGGCCCCCATAAGCTCATAGGGAGTGGCCCTATTAGGAGATTGGCTTTGTTGGAGTGGGTATGGCCTTGTTAGAGGAAATGTGTCACTGGAGGGGAGGGCTTTGAGCTTTCCTATGCTCAGGATACCACCCAGTGTCTCAGTTGACTTCCTGTTGCCTGCAAGATGTAGGAATCCCAACTACTTCTCCAGCACCATGTCTGCCTGCAGACCACCATGTTCCCCACCATGATGATAAAGGACTGAATCACTGAAACTGTAAAGCTACCTGAATTAAATATTTTCCTTTATAAGAGTTGCCATGGTCATGGTGTCTCTTCACAGTGATAGAAACCTTGTGTGTACAAACAACACACACACACACACACACACACACACACACACACACACACACACACACACACACACACACGCAGGACACTGTGGAATATAGGAGTCTCATAGATTACTTTCTTCTCATCAATAAACAGAACATTTATATTCATCTCCAATATATAACTGTAAAAGAGTGGTACTTCATAGTGATCAGTCTACAGAGAGTGCTCAAATCAGAGTAGACAAACTCTTGAGAGCAGTGATAAAAACAGTTCACAGAGAACTGGTTGAGAAAACCTTTATCCTGGGGGCCTGCTTCAGTGAGTAAAAAACGGCTGGCCTCACAAACCTGACCACCTGAGTTCAACTCTTGGAACTCATGCAAAAAGGCAGATGTGAAATTCCAGCACTCCTACAGCATGATGGGGGTGTAGACAGAAGAAGCCCACAGGACAGCTAGCCAGGAGTCCAAAGCATCGCAGCAGAAACAAGACACTCTGCTCAATGGGGTGGAAGGCAAGATGGTCCTCTGACCTCTACATATATGCTATGGCATTCCAGTGTCCCCACCCTTGTGCTTTCTGTCTGTCTGTGTGTGTCTCTCCTGTGCAAACAAAGAAGTAAAAATTGAATAAATAAGATAAAAGCTGTTTTAACCAGTTATACATTGAAATTTAAAATTATTTAGTCTCTACATATTAAAGTCACTTTACTTTTCATTCAATAGATTATATGTGTAAATATACATTTTTGATTTATTTTGAATATTGAAGGAAAATAAATCTAATTATCAGCATCCCCAGTGTGGTGCTTGCTGCCCCTTTCTGGATGATGCCACTTTCTCTATTTGTAGAGGGAATTTTTCTTCATTTCAGGCTCTGATAGTGTTTTGTTTCTTTATCAATATACACTCAATAAACAAGCCATACAAAGTAAGCACAGTGGCCCCGTAGAGCACAGTGAAAACCTATCCAGAAAGGCCCTTTCCTATGGAGAGGGATTAGTACAGGGCATGAATAAGCCAAGCAATGGTAGAGTTGAGGAACAAGCAGGGGGAGAGGAGCAGACCAGGAATCAGAAACATGGGGCTCATGCTCACATCTGGGCAAGACGGAGGGAGGTGGAAACAAAGAGGCTGCAGTCGGCAGAGGTATCTAGACACACTTAAGGCTTTTCTGGTGCCCCCAAGAATGGTGTTCAGCTTCTGCCAGAGAAACCATTCAAGGGAGAGAGGCTGTGGGATGTAGCTGGTGTCCTTCCTTAACCCTGCCCCGCCATCTCTGTGAGTGTCCTCCTCAGATGAACTCAGCTGAGGCCACTGACCCCATGACTTGTCACAGGGAACAGAGCAGAGGCTGGACAAGTGACCCTGAGACCCGGAACTGCCGCAACATGGAAAAGGACCTTGTCAGAACTGTCACTTACCGAAAACAACCTGGACACTCAGCCAATGATCAGTTAGGAAATATTACGTAGGCTGCAAGAGGACGTTTAAATGGGTTGTCAATTATCTGAGAGAAGTTGCTGAGGTAAGTAAAAAGAGAAAATCTTTCACATAATCTCAGCAACTGAAATTGTTTCACAGAGGACAAGTGGCAGTATGCATATGACAACTCAATTATGCTGTTTGGAGGTCATAGGTTTGTGTGTACACACATATACATACTACACCACACACATACATACACACACACATACACATACTA